GAGAAGAGGATGAGCTCAAGGCTGGATTCAACCTATTAACGGGGAACAAAACGACAGAGAGCGACGACACAGTCAGACCAGAAATAGACCACGTCCATTAAGAAACCGTCATCCATGCATGTGGCCGGCTTCATGCTATATGCAGACGATGTGGTTTAATTTGGGGCACAGAATATGAAAGGCCCCACGGTGATGAGGGATCCATCTGCCATACAAGGTCACAAACTGGTTTAATTCCTGGATCGCATGTACAGATATCAGTGACTCCTCCTCGTCAGTAAGACCGTTTCTGATAATCACGTCATCGTTCTTCACCGATAGATGTCAACGTTTGTGGCATTTCTCATTACAAACATCTACAAATCGGCTGCAGGCATCTGAATTATGACTCATTGAGTTCAGGTATAAACCGTTTAACTCCAATAAGTCTTATTTCCACATCTTGTTTTATAGATAGATTAAGTCTGAACTCGTCAGAAAACATCTCAGATATCTTTAATTGGAATTAAGGCGCCGCAAAATGCTCGAGATAACTCAAGTTGGAATCCTGAAACTCTGAATTAGAGTCCTGACGAGTCAAAACTACGTCGCAGGAGCCGGACGCAGCTTCTTCTTCAAACATTTAACGTCCCCAAGATTAGCTTTCTGTGCCTGTCTAGACTTTGTCAGAGGGAAGCGTATTTCGAGACAAATAAACAAGAATATGCTGCACATTTTAACACCAAGTCTCAAAACTCTCCCCTCCTCAAACCCTCTGGCAGATGGGATCTTCCCATTAGGTGGTATTTTGGAGAGATTTTATCCGTTAAATCAGCCACCATGACTTCTGCTAACATGTTCAGATGCTTTGCTGGACCCATATCCAAGTATCACATAAACATCACACACAACAGTTCAGACCAGCCATAAAGACGTTAGCGATAAAAAGTGAAAACTAAATTACAGATATGAAATCTAATGAAGTCACACCTGATATGTGACCAGTCACAGAGGAACTACAGAATGCTGACATCTGGAGTTTTATTTCCAGTCAAACTCGGCTATTAAACGTTAGAACATCTTGCTAACATCAGATCGTTTCCACATCCCGCCTGTGGCATCAAAACTTCCACGTGTTTTAGTATCAGTGAGGCTGCACGGTTCCTGATGTTCGCATTTTCTGTTGTCGCCTATTGATTGACCTCCAGAGGATCAAAGACCTTGAAGCGCTCGTCAGATTATACGTGTTTTAAGCTTCGTAAGCGACTACGTCCACCACGCAGCGGATAGCTGCACATGCTAATGAATATGTAAACTGTGATGTGAGGACCATGAGATGAAGGTCTGCTGAACTCTGATTGACTTCCTGTCTCTGAGGCAGAATAATGACAGGACTGATATTTCCTCTATATGGTGACACCATTACACGTCTTTGACCGGGGAGCTTTGGGGATACTTGAAAAAGCTGAAGCCACAGTTGGGTTTGACATTTAGAAGTGCTGACTTTCCATATCTGGAGGGGATTGGGCCAGCAAATTTAAAACGTCCCTGAACTTGGACAGGGGGTTCTTTGATTCCCGAAACATCAGATCACTGAAGATCTGTCAACACCAGCCGAGAAGCTCTCCGGCTGGAGAACTGGGCCCTACATGTGCGATTAAAAGCAAATCACTCCTCGCCGGTCGACTCGGCCGCTAATTCGACTCAGCACTTGAAAAAAAAAGCCGCCGCAATCGCGTCTCCGGTACGCTCAGCGCCCCACTGGAGAATGAATGGGCTCGCTCCTCTGACAGATCATCTCGGGCTACATGAATCTCGCGCATGCAGTACAGTAATAGTCGAACAGATGATGGTTCTTGGCACCGCCTGAGTGGTGGAGGGGTGTAAGACAGTCCCTTATGTCACATGGGAGAAAGAGAGGGATGGAGAAGGAGGGAGAAGAGGAGTGCTGCAGTGCATTGGTGGTGTGCTGTCTCTTTAACCATGGCCATGCTTGACAGGAGCCGCTGGATCAAACTACTGTAACATCGACAAGGCCGGGGACGGCTCAGCGGCTGGATGCTGCCACAGCGTCCATCTGCACTCACGGAGACGTCCACGGTAGAGGAAGGGAGAGAGAGGAGAGAGAGGAGGTAGAAAAGTGTGTGTGTGTGTGTGTGTGTGTGTGTGTGTGTGTGTGTGTGTGTGTGTGTGTGTGGGTGGTTCAGCGTGAGGGGGGTCGACCACAGCGGAGGAGAGAGAGAGAGAAAGAAAGAAAGAAAAAGAAGGAGATAGACTGAAAGGAGGTGTGAGTTTAAGAGAGCGAATGAGGGAAGAAAAAGATTTCGCCAAGATAGGAAGGCCCATCTCTGCTGCTGCCTCCCACTAACTGCCTGTTCATGTGAGCCGGTACTTGGCATGACTGCAAATGGCTTGCCTGGTACATTAGCTGAACACGCTCGTCAATGTGGGCTCAGATACATCTGCAAGACTGCTGAGGCAACACCCCCCCTCCGTCCACTTTCTCCCCGTATGTGGATCTGGATTTCATCGCAAATCAATGTCACACCGATATCAGCCGTCTAACCACATATTTTATCTCTGAATGTTGAGTCACTGTGCAGCAATAAATATCACACAGTGTTACATAATCGCTTTGAGTAACCATGGAGCTTCTAATGTATAGGGGAGCAGGATGGAGGATCTGTCTGGAGTGCACAGAGCTGCTTGGAAAAAACACATCATGCATACATGTACTTTATATAAAATAGAACAAAACGGGGTAAAATGTGCATCACGGTTTCCAAAATCCAATCATGTGGTGTTAAAATTGGTTAACAGATATAAACCCTAAACACACTGAATTAACAGAGACATTAAAGCTGCAGCCGTCGCTGTGAGTTGGTGTTAAATGTCCTGTCCTGCTGGGAACTTCTGGCTTTAGATAACAAACAGTGCAGGATGTCATATTTAGAAGCATGAATGTCAGGAGGGAAGCAGATGATCCGTCCTCGTGAAACATGGCAGAAGCAAAAAGAACGTTTCCTCCATGTGCTTATATTTGGGGGTTTTCTTCATGTGAATATAGACGTTTATTCCCTGATTTCATGCAGAAAATGTGCGTAAAAATTCACCTGAATGCGAGAAACGGAGTGTTGGAAGCTCAGAATCTCCTGCTAAACATGTTCCCCGTCGCCCCAAACGCTCACATCTACGCCCGTGTCGTCACTGGTGGCACAAATTTCAATACTACAACTGAAATTCTCGAGTTAAACCGTAACGCGTCGCTGCAGAGGTTTTAGTAGGATGAACCCTCAGCAGATGCACAAAATTGGATAAGACTAAACAGCGTTAAGCTCCTGAAAACAGCGCTGAAAACCAAACACCGCCGCGATCACAGCGAAAGAGTAGTCGGTGCCATCGCTGGCAGGTTTTGAAGGTGCAGCACTGTGCTCACAATTTCCTGGCAATGACTCCCAGAGTGGGCTCGTGCACACACACACACACACACACACACACACACACACACACACACACACACACA